GAAACCAAACGCACTTTAATTCTTTTGTCATTTTATTCATTTTTAAATAATGGGACACATGTAACAGTACATACTAGGGGTGAAATTTTATTAGATTTATTTATTTTTTAATTTATTTTATTTATTTTATTTAGTTTAGTTTGTTTGTTTTTAATATTATAAAGAAACAAAAAAACTTAATATAACAAAAACACAAAAATATGTCTCTAATTTATTTCATAAAAAACACAACAACAAAAAAACAAAAAAACAAAAAAAATATGTTTTGATTTAATTGATTCAAAGATGATACAAAAAAGAGAGACTTATTTCTACACAAATTTAGGATTTCCGGTTAAATTATTCTCCCAATTTATAAAATAACTCATTTGTATATAGTTCAAGTTTTTTCCGATTAATAAATAATCCACGTTGATAAAATTTACATGATGTTTTCAATCTCTTAATTTTTAATTTTAATTTTTTTTTGTTTATTTCTCATTCTCACATTTATTATACGGTGGTTATAGATTTTATATAATATAATCCTTTACTTAATGGTTAATTTGGTCATATCCAACTTTTATGTGTTTACTTACTTTTGGGTTTACAATGGTTCCAAGAAACTTTAACACTTTAAATACAATATATGCTTTGAACATTTTTATAAACAACTTTTACTTTTTTGATAAATTGGATTATCAATGTATCTGATCCATATATAAGCAAAATATATTGATAATCAAATCTAATAAAAAAAGTAAAACATACTTATAATAGTGTTTGGAGAATGTATTTAATAATGGTCAATTATAAACACTAAATTTTGTTTTAGCCCTATAGTTAATACTTTAAATTTATTAAAGAAACAACTTTTCTATCTATCACAAAAAATTAGGCAGTGTACCTTCAAACAATCACAAAATTATGTTTAATTTCAACATATTAAATTATTTATTAAATAGCACAATTATTTGTTGTTATCAATACAATTTACACTGAAGATAAATAATTTTTTTAGGCTTTGTTTTGCTTCACCTTCTTGACATACTACCTAGTCAAAAATCTCCTGAGACATAAAGGTCTATAATATACCCCAACCCCTCTTATCACAAACATTGCAATATTTCATATCCCTTTTTATAGATGTCTCTCGCCTTCTCTCCCCGAATCAATTCAATAAACTCTCCTTCTGATTTTTTTCATCACTAAAATTTCCTCCTCTCTCAACAAGAATAGAAAACACTCCGCGTGTTTTATTATTCACTAAAATTTCCTCCTCTCTCAACAAGAAATAGACTAGAACTTTAAATTTAAGTTACCATGCACTCCCAATTTAAACAATTTCTTCTCTTTGCGTAATAATTTACAATCTCCTATTCAATGTTATCTCAACAATAATATCATCTTCTTCTATATATTTTTGTGCGCGCGTGCACACACAATGATGTATAATAAATACTTAAAATATTAGAAGAATAATCCAAGCCCGCAATATTTTAATGTACATTAGTTCTATTATGCTTTTAACACGTCAATATATAAATTAATATTTTAACCAGCTAAAATTATATAATTTTAAAACATAGTAAACAATTAATTTTTTTCTTATAAATTTCAATCAAACAACAATAGATGTCATGTTCTACTACTAAATTTCTTGTCATAACAAAATAGCATAACATTTATAGTATTTAGTTAACAAAATATTAGTGTGTGCGTGCGTGCACATAAAATGGTCATTTTTGAAGTTCACCATAACATTCTAATATATTTGATTATCCAATAATCAATCATAACCATTAAAATTGTTTATTATTAAATCAACTGTAATTTTGGAAGTTCACCATAATAGACCAATAAATATGTTTAACCATGTTAACCTTTACCGTATTCCCTATATAACACCTTTTTTTTATCAAACAATTATATATTTTACATTTTCAATCGATTTTTGAAAAATAATGAAACTATTATTTTCAATTTCATTTATGTTTGTTTTAGGATCGTGGGACCTTACAGTTGAATATAGAATATGGAATAAAGTACTGAAGAATCGTCATCAACTATGCTTAAAAAACTCATACATCCTATGGTAAAAGTACCTGATCTAAAAAGTTGATAAAATGCGCAAGGCTGATGACAAATATCTGACGCATGGATTGAAGGAAAAGAAACAAGTTGTCGTTGTCGTCTCCTCAATGCAACCGATGATATCGACATCAAAACTCTACACTCTTAAACTGTCAGCTACAACGCAAGCCTCTTCCCCACACGACCCAGTCGCTTCTGCCCAGTTACATTTCATAAGCACCACCGCCAAGCCCGTCGAAGTTCTTCGATCCGCCACAACAAAATCCTTGAGATGGTAAATTTGTTTTTCTCTCATTTTTCGCTAGTCGATTGTTATATTTATTATGATTCTTTATTTTGAATTTTAAAATTTGTTTGGGGTTAATTTTTGAAAAATTTTAAATTGTTTATTTTGAGAGAAAGTAGGTGATAAAGTTTTTGAGAGAAGAAGAGATGTTTACTCATAGTTTTTGTTTTTTCTTTGTGTTATAGAGTTATTGTATTTTTTTAATTGGTCACTTTTAATAATGTTATGTAAGAGAGAGGAAGTTACATGTGTTGTATGGTTATCTTCACTGTTATTGTTATGTTATGTTTTTTTTTTGTTTTTAAATTACCACTACATGCCATGTGTCATCGTATAATTGTTTTTTTTTAATTTGAAAAAAAATGAGAGAATATGAAAAAATTAGAAAAGTGAGTACGATTGGTGTACTTTTAAGTGAATGTTTGGAAATAGTGTTTTTATGGTGAAAAAAACACTTCTAGTAGAAGCTTCAACTAATAGTTTCTTTATTTTCACGGTTGAAACCAATTGCACCATGATTTTATTGTGCCAAAAGTGAAACCAAACGCACTTTAATTCTTTTGTCATTTTATTCATTTTTAAATAATGGGACACATGTAACAGTACATACTAGGGGTGAAATTTTATTAGATTTATTTATTTTTTAATTTATTTTATTTATTTTATTTAGTTTAGTTTGTTTGTTTTTAATATTATAAAGAAACAAAAAAACTTAATATAACAAAAACACAAAAATATGTCTCTAATTTATTTCATAAAAAACACAACAACAAAAAAACAAAAAAACAAAAAAAATATGTTTTGATTTAATTGATTCAAAGATGATACAAAAAAGAGAGACTTATTTCTACACAAATTTAGGATTTCCGGTTAAATTATTCTCCCAATTTATAAAATAACTCATTTGTATATAGTTCAAGTTTTTTCCGATTAATAAATAATCCACGTTGATAAAATTTACATGATGTTTTCAATCTCTTAATTTTTAATTTTAATTTTTTTTTGTTTATTTCTCATTCTCACATTTATTATACGGTGGTTATAGATTTTATATAATATAATCCTTTACTTAATGGTTAATTTGGTCATATCCAACTTTTATGTGTTTACTTACTTTTGGGTTTACAATGGTTCCAAGAAACTTTAACACTTTAAATACAATATATGCTTTGAACATTTTTATAAACAACTTTTACTTTTTTGATAAATTGGATTATCAATGTATCTGATCCATATATAAGCAAAATATATTGATAATCAAATCTAATAAAAAAAGTAAAACATACTTATAATAGTGTTTGGAGAATGTATTTAATAATGGTCAATTATAAACACTAAATTTTGTTTTAGCCCTATAGTTAATACTTTAAATTTATTAAAGAAACAACTTTTCTATCTATCACAAAAAATTAGGCAGTGTACCTTCAAACAATCACAAAATTATGTTTAATTTCAACATATTAAATTATTTATTAAATAGCACAATTATTTGTTGTTATCAATACAATTTACACTGAAGATAAATAATTTTTTTAGGCTTTGTTTTGCTTCACCTTCTTGACATACTACCTAGTCAAAAATCTCCTGAGACATAAAGGACTATAATATACCCCAACCCCTCTTATCACAAACATTGCAATATTTCATATCCCTTTTTATAGATGTCTCTCGCCTTCTCTCCCCGAATCAATTCAATAAACTCTCCTTCTGATTTTTTTCATCACTAAAATTTCCTCCTCTCTCAACAAGAATAGAAAACACTCCGCGTGTTTTATTATTCACTAAAATTTCCTCCTCTCTCAACAAGAAATAGACTAGAACTTTAAATTTAAGTTACCATGCACTCCCAATTTAAACAATTTCTTCTCTTTGCGTAATAATTTACAATCTCCTATTCAATGTTATCTCAACAATAATATCATCTTCTTCTATATATTTTTGTGCGCGCGTGCACACACAATGATGTATAATAAATACTTAAAATATTAGAAGAATAATCCAAGCCCGCAATATTTTAATGTACATTAGTTCTATTATGCTTTTAACACGTCAATATATAAATTAATATTTTAACCAGCTAAAATTATATAATTTTAAAACATAGTAAACAATTAATTTTTTTCTTATAAATTTCAATCAAACAACAATAGATGTCATGTTCTACTACTAAATTTCTTGTCATAACAAAATAGCATAACATTTATAGTATTTAGTTAACAAAATATTAGTGTGTGCGTGCGTGCACATAAAATGGTCATTTTTGAAGTTCACCATAACATTCTAATATATTTGATTATCCAATAATCAATCATAACCATTAAAATTGTTTATTATTAAATCAACTGTAATTTTGGAAGTTCACCATAATAGACCAATAAATATGTTTAACCATGTTAACCTTTACCGTATTCCCTATATAACACCTTTTTTTTATCAAACAATTATATATTTTACATTTTCAATCGATTTTTGAAAAATAATGAAACTATTATTTTCAATTTCATTTATGTTTGTTTTAGGATCGTGGGACCTTACAGTTGAATATAGAATATGGAATAAAGTACTGAAGAATCGTCATCAACTATGCTTAAAAAACTCATACATCCTATGGTAAAAGTACCTGATCTAAAAAGTTGATAAAATGCGCAAGGCTGATGACAAATATCTGACGCATGGATTGAAGGAAAAGAAACAAGTTGTCGTTGTCGTCTCCTCAATGCAACCGATGATATCGACATCAAAACTCTACACTCTTAAACTGTCAGCTACAACGCAAGCCTCTTCCCCACACGACCCAGTCGCTTCTGCCCAGTTACATTTCATAAGCACCACCGCCAAGCCCGTCGAAGTTCTTCGATCCGCCACAACAAAATCCTTGAGATGGTAAATTTGTTTTTCTCTCATTTTTCGCTAGTCGATTGTTATATTTATTATGATTCTTTATTTTGAATTTTAAAATTTGTTTGGGGTTAATTTTTGAAAAATTTTAAATTGTTTATTTTGAGAGAAAGTAGGTGATAAAGTTTTTGAGAGAAGAAGAGAGGTTTACTCATAGTTTTTGTTTTTTCTTTGTGTTATAGAGTTATTGTATTTTTTTAATTGGTCACTTTTAATAATGTTATGTAAGAGAGAGGAAGTTACATGTGTTGTATGGTTATCTTCACTGTTATTGTTATGTTATGTTTTTTTTTTGTTTTTAAATTACCACTACATGCCATGTGTCATCGTATAATTGTTTTTTTTTTAATTTGAAAAAACATGAGAGAATATGAAAAAATTAGAAAAGTGAGTACGATTGGTGTACTTTTAAGTGAATGTTTGGAAATAGTGTTTTTATGGTGAAAAAAACACTTCTAGTAGAAGCTTCAACTAATAGTTTCTTTATTTTCACGGTTGAAACCAATTGCACCATGATTTTATTGTGCCAAAAGTGAAACCAAACGCACTTTAATTCTTTTGTCATTTTATTCATTTTTAAATAATGGGACACATGTAACAGTACATACTAGGGGTGAAATTTTATTAGATTTATTTATTTTTTAATTTATTTTATTTATTTTATTTAGTTTAGTTTGTTTGTTTTTAATATTATAAAGAAACAAAAAAACTTAATATAACAAAAACACAAAAATATGTCTCTAATTTATTTCATAAAAAACACAACAACAAAAAAACAAAAAAACAAAAAAAATATGTTTTGATTTAATTGATTCAAAGATGATACAAAAAAGAGAGACTTATTTCTACACAAATTTAGGATTTCCGGTTAAATTATTCTCCCAATTTATAAAATAACTCATTTGTATATAGTTCAAGTTTTTTCCGATTAATAAATAATCCACGTTGATAAAATTTACATGATGTTTTCAATCTCTTAATTTTTAATTTTAATTTTTTTTTGTTTATTTCTCATTCTCACATTTATTATACGGTGGTTATAGATTTTATATAATATAATCCTTTACTTAATGGTTAATTTGGTCATATCCAACTTTTATGTGTTTACTTACTTTTGGGTTTACAATGGTTCCAAGAAACTTTAACACTTTAAATACAATATATGCTTTGAACATTTTTATAAACAACTTTTACTTTTTTGATAAATTGGATTATCAATGTATCTGATCCATATATAAGCAAAATATATTGATAATCAAATCTAATAAAAAAAGTAAAACATACTTATAATAGTGTTTGGAGAATGTATTTAATAATGGTCAATTATAAACACTAAATTTTGTTTTAGCCCTATAGTTAATACTTTAAATTTATTAAAGAAACAACTTTTCTATCTATCACAAAAAATTAGGCAGTGTACCTTCAAACAATCACAAAATTATGTTTAATTTCAACATATTAAATTATTTATTAAATAGCACAATTATTTGTTGTTATCAATACAATTTACACTGAAGATAAATAATTTTTTTAGGCTTTGTTTTGCTTCACCTTCTTGACATACTACCTAGTAAAAAATCTCCTGAGACATAAAGGTCTATAATATACCCCAACCCCTCTTATCACAAACATTGCAATATTTCATATCCCTTTTTATAGATGTCTCTCGCCTTCTCTCCCCGAATCAATTCAATAAACTCTCCTTCTGATTTTTTTCATCACTAAAATTTCCTCCTCTCTCAACAAGAATAGAAAACACTCCGCGTGTTTTATTATTCACTAAAATTTCCTCCTCTCTCAACAAGAAATAGACTAGAACTTTAAATTTAAGTTACCATGCACTCCCAATTTAAACAATTTCTTCTCTTTGCGTAATAATTTACAATCTCCTATTCAATGTTATCTCAACAATAATATCATCTTCTTCTATATATTTTTGTGCGCGCGTGCACACAATGATGTATAATAAATACTTAAAATATTAGAAGAATAATCCAAGCCCTCAATATTTTAATGTACATTAGTTCTATTATACTTTTAACACGTCAATATATAAATTAATATTTTAACCAGCTAAAATTATATAATTTTAAAACATAGTAAACAATTAATTTTTTTCTTATAAATTTCAATCAAACAACAATAAATGTCATGTGCTACTACTAAATTTCTTGTCATAACAAAATAGCATAACATTTAAAGTATTTAGTTAACAAAATATTAGTGTGTGCGTGCGTGCACATAAAATGGTCATTTTTGAAGTTCACCATAACATTCTAATATATTTGATTATCCAATAATCAATCATAACCATTAAAATTGTTTATTATTAAATCAACTGTAATTTTGGAAGTTGACCCTAATAGACCAATAAATATGTTTAACCATGTTAACCTTTACCGTATTCCCTATATAACACCTTTTTTTATCAAACAATTATATATTTTACATTTTCAATCGATTTTTGAAAAATAATGAAACTATTATTTTCAATTTCATTTATGTTTGTTTTAGGATCGTGGGACTTAAAGTTGAATATAGAATATGGAATAAAGTACTGAAGAATCGTCATCAACTATGCTTAAAAAACTCATACATCCTATGGTAAAAGTACCTAATCTAAAAAGTTGATAAAATGCGCAAGGCTGAGGACAAATATCTGACGCATGGATTGAAGGAAAAGAAACAAGTTGTCGTTGTCATCTCCACAATGCAACCGATGATATCGACATCAAAACTCTACACTCTTAAACTGTCAACTGCAACGCAAGCCTCTTCCCCACACGACCCAGTCGCTTCTGCCCAGTTACATTTCATAAGCACCACCGCCAAGCCCGCCGAAGTTCTTCGATCCGCCACAACAAAATCCTTGAGATGGTAAATTTGTTTTTCTCTCATTTTTCGCTAGTCGATTGTTATATTTATTATGATTCTTTATTTTAAATTTTAAAATTTGTTTGGGGTTAATTTTTGAAAAATTTTAAATTGTTTATTTTGAGAGAAAGTAGGTGATAAAGTTTTTGAGAGAAGAAGAGAGGTTTACTCATAGTTTTTGTTTTTTCTTTGTGTTATAGAGTTATTGTATTTTTTTAATTGGTCACTTTTAATAATGTTATGTAAGAGAGAGGAAGTTACATGTGTTGTATGGTTATCTTCAATGTTATTGTTATATTATGTTTTTTTTTTGTTTTTAAATTACCACTACATGCCATGTGTCATCGTATAATTGTTTTTTTTTTAATTTGAAAAAACATGAGAGAATATGAAAAAATTAGAAAAGTGAGTATGATTGGTGTACTTTTAAGTGAATGTTTGGAAATAGTGTTTTTATGATGAAAAAAACACTTCTAGTAGAAGCTTCAACTAATAGTTTCTTTAATTTCACGGTTGAAACCAATTGCACCATGATTTTATTGTGCCAAAAGTGAAACCAAACGCACTTTAATTGTTTTGTCATTTTATTCATTTTTAAATAATGGGACACATGTAACAGTACGTACTAGGGGTGAAATTTTATTAGATTTATTTATTTTTTAATTTATTTTATTTATTTTATTTATTTTATTTATTTTATTTATTTTATATAGTTTAATTTTTTTGTTTTTAATATTATAAATAAACAAAAAAACTTAATATAACAAAAACACAAAAATATGTCTCTAATTTATTTCATAAAAAACACAACAACAAAAAAACAAAAAAACAAAAAAAATATGTTTTGATTTAATTGATTCAAAGATGATACAAAAAAGAGAGACTTATTTCTACACAAATTTAGGATTTCCGGTTAAATTATTCTCCCAATTTATAAAATAACTCCTTTGTATATAGTTCAAGTTTTTTCCGATTAATAAATAATCCACGTTGATAAAATTTACATGATGTTTTCAATCTCTTAATTTTTAATTTTAATTTTTTTTTGTTTATTTCTCATTCTCACATTTATTATACGGTGGTTATAGATTTTATATAATATAATCCTTTACTTAATGGTTAATTTGGTCATATCCAACTTTTATGTGTTTACTTACTTTTGGGTTTACAATGGTTCCAAGAAACTTTAACACTTTAAATACAATATATGCTTTGAACATTTTTATAAACAACTTTTACTTTTTTGATAAATTGGATTATCAATGTATCTGATCCATATATAAGCAAAATATATTGATAATCAAATCTAATAAAAAAAGTAAAACTTACTTATAATAGTGTTTGGAGAATGTATTTAATAATGGTCAATTATAAACACTAAATTTTGTTTTAGCCCTATAGTTAATACTTTAAATTTATTAAAGAAACAACTTTTCTATCTATCACAAAAATTAGGCAGTGTACCTTCAAACAATCACAAAATTATGTTTAATTTTAACATATTAAATTATTTATTAAATAACACAATTATTTGTTGTTATCAATACAATTTACACTGAAGATAACTAATTTTTTTAGGCTTTGTTTTGCTTCACCTTCTTGACATACTACCTAGTCAAAAATCTCCTGAGACATAAAGGTCTATAATATACCCCAACCCCTCTTATCACAAACATTGCAATATTTCATATCCTTTTTATAGATGTCTCTCGCCTTCTCTCCCCGAATCAATTCAATAAACTCTCCTTCTGATTTTTTTCATCACTTAAATTTCCTCCTCTCTCAACAAGAATAGAAAACACTCCGCGTGTTTTATTATTCACTAAAATTTCCTCCTCTCTCAACAAGAAATAGACTAGAACTTTAAATTTAAGTTACCATGCACTCCAAATTTCAAACAATTTCTTCTCTTTGCGTAATAATTTACAATCTCCTATTCAATGTTATCTCAACAATAATATCATCTTCTTCTATATATTTTTGTGCGCGCGTGCACACACAATGATGTATAATAAATACTTAAAATATTAGAAGAATAATCCAAGCCCGCAATATTTTAATGTACATTAGTTCTATTATACTTTTAACACGTCAATATATAAATTAATATTTTAACCAGCTAAAATTATATAATTTTAAAACATAGTAAACAATTAATTTTTTTCTTATAAATTTCAATCAAACAACAATAAATGTCAAGTGCTACTACTAAATTTCTTGTCATAACAAAATAGCATAACATTTAAAGTATTTAGTTAACAAAATATTAGTGTGTGCGTGCATGCACATAAAATTGTCATTTTTGAAGTTCACCATAACATTCTAATATATTTGATTATCCAATAATCAATATTAACCATTAAAATTGTTTATTATTAAATCAACTGTAGTTTTGGAAGTTCACCATAATAGACCAATAAATATGTTTAACCATGTTAACCTTTACCGTATTCCCTATATAACACCTTTTTTTTATCAAACAATTATATATTTTACATTTTCAATCGATTTTTGAAAAATAATGAAACTATTATTTTCAATTTCATTTATGTTTGTTTTAGGATCGTGGGACCTTAAAATTGAATATAGAATATGGAATAAAGTACTGAAGAATCGTCATCAACTATGCTTAAAAAACTCATACATCCTATGGTAAAAGTACCTGATCTAAAAAGTTGATAAAATGCGCAAGGCTAATGACAAATATCTGACGCACGGATTGAAGGAAAAGAAACAAGTTGTCGTTGTCGTCTCCACAATGCAACCGATGATATCGACATCAAAACTCTACACTATTAAACTATCAAATGCAACGCAAGCCTCTTCCCCACACGACCCAGTCGCTTCTGCCCAGTTACATTTTATAAGCACCACCGCCAAGCCCGCCGAAGTTCTTCGATCCGACACAACAAAATCCTTGAGATGGTAAATTTGTTTTTCTCTCATTTTTCGCTAGTCGATTGTTATATTTATTATGATTCTTTATTTTGAATTTTAAAATTTGTATGGGGTTAATTTTTGAAAAATTTTAAATTGTTTATTTTGAGAGAAAGTAGGTGATAAAGTTTTTGAGAGAAGAAGAGAGGTTTACTCATAGTTTTTGTTTTTTCTTTATGTTATAGAGTTATTGTATTTTCTTAATTGGTCACTTTTAATAATGTTATGTAAGAGAGAGGAAGTTACATGTGTTGTATGGTTATCTTCACTGTTATTGTTATATTATGTTTTTTTTTTTGTTTTTAAATTACCACTACATGCCATGTGTCATCGTATAATTGTTTTTTTTTTATTTAAAAAAACATGAGAGAATATGAAAATATTAGAAAAGTGAGTATGATTGGTGTACTTTTAAGTGAATGTTTGGAAATAGTGTTTTTATGGTGAAAAAAACACTTCTAGTAGAAGCTTCAACTAATAGTTTCTTTAATTTCACGGTTGAAACCAATTGCACCATGATTTTATTGTGCCAAAAGTGAAACCAAACGCACTTTAATTGTTTTGTCATTTTATTCATTTTTAAATAATGGGACACATGTAACAGTACGTACTAGGGGTGAAATTTTATTAGATTTATTTATTTTTTAATTTATTTTATTTATTTTATATAGTTTAATTTTTTTGTTTTTAATATTATAAAGAAACAAAAAAACTTAATATAACCAAAACACAAAAATATGTCTCTAATTTATTTCATAAAAAACACAACAACAAAAAAACAAAAAAACAAAAAAAATATGTTTTGATTTAATTGATTCAAAGATGATAAAAAAAAGAGAGACTTATTTCTACACAAATTTAGGATTTCCGGTTAAATTATTCTCACAATTTATAAAATAACTCCTTTGTATATAGTTCAAGTTTTTTCCGGTTAATAAATAATCCATGTTGATAAAATTTACATGATGTTTTCAATCTCTTAATTTCTAATTTTAATTTTTTTTTGTTTATTTCTCATTCTCACATTTATTATACGGTGGTTGTAGATTTTATATAATATAATCCTTTACTTAATGGTTAATTTGGTCATATCCAACTTTTATGTGTTTACTTACTTTTGGGTTTACAATGGTTCCAAGAAACTTTAACACTTTAAATACAATATATGCTTTGAACATTTTTATAAACAACTTTTACTTATTTGATAAATTGGATTATCAATGTATCTGATCCATATATAAGCAAAATATATTGATAATCAAATCTAATAAAAAAAGTAAAACTTACTTATAATAGTGTTTGGAGAATGTATTTAATAATGGTCAATTATAAACACTAAATTTTGTTTTAGCCCTATAGTTAATACTTTAAATTTATTAAAGAAACAACTTTTCTATCTATCACAAAAATTAGGCAGTGTACCTTCAAACAATCACAAAATTATGTTTAATTTTAACATATTAAATTATTTATTAAATAGCACAATTATTTGTTGTTATCAATACAATTTACACTGAAGATAACTAATTTTTTTAGGCTTTGTTTTGCTTCACCTTCTTGACATACTACCTAGTCAAAAATCTCCTGAGACATAAAGGTCTATAATATACCCCAACCCCTCTTATCACAAACATTGCAATATTTCATATCCCTTTTATAGATGTCTCTCGCATTCTCTCCCCGAATCAATTCAATTAACTCTCCTTCTGATTTTTTTCATCACTAAAATTTCCTCCTCTCTCAACAAGAATAGAAAACACTCTGCGTGTTTTATTATTCACTAAAATTTCCTCCTCTCTCAACAAGAAATAGACTAGAACTTTAAATTTAAGTTACCATGCACTCCCAATTTCAAACAATTTCTTCTCTTTGCGTAATAATTTACAATCTCCTATTCAATGTTATCTCAACAATAATATCATCTTCTTCTATATATTTTTGTGCGCGCGTGCACGCACAATGATGTATAATAAATACTTAAAATATTAGAAGAATAATCCAAGCCCGCAATATTTTAATGTACATTAGTTCTATTATACTTTTAACACGTCAATATATAAATTAATATTT